CTGTAAACGTAATCAAAACCGGATATTTAATGGGTTAGCCGGTATCTAACTGATGTGGCAGCTTACCTGGAAGTCATCATGTTAAATAACATCCTACGTGCCATTATAGAGGGCTAAATCATTGAATCGAGCTCGTCTTCTTCATTCTCCAGTCAAATGAGCGAACGATTAGGGAAAATTGGAAACATGAAACCGATGTCGAGTTGTCAAGCACCAACATAGAATGTGCTATTGTGGAGATAGGGCTGGTATGTGGACATCATGGACTCGAAAGAATCCAGGTCGGAGGTTTTTTGGTTGCCCAAATTACATGGTATAGAATCTTCAAATCTCACCCAAATTCTTCTAATCCTCTAAAATTCCCATTTTTCTGTGTTAAAAACATGCATCTTGCTATGTTATGTAGGATGAAGAGAAGGACTGTGGGTATTTTCGTTGGATTGACCCACCACTATTGAATAAGTGGTATAAAGAAAGAATGTATGAATAGGAGCTGTTGCTAATGGGGTGTAGCTATTTCTTTCAATAACCCTGTTAATGAAGGTGAAATACCTATTGATGGCCCTATTGCCCCTATGAATGTTGATGTCCCTATTTCCCCTGTGAATGCTCTTGAACATGATAATCAAATTACAATGCGTGAGAATACACATGTGCCTGGTAATGAATTTGGATTTGCAAGTGGATGATGGTTTGTTTCGTTTGTTTCATTGTAGGGATGATGTATGCTTAGTTTAGTGTAAGTTGTAAGGTATTATGGTATGGTAGGGATGATGTAGTCTTTTGGTTTGTTATCATGATGTAATAGATGGAGGAGGGTTTACTGTAATAGATAAATGTTCTTGTGGATCATGTAATATTTTGGTTAATGAAATGGCAATATGTTATTATGGTTTGCATAAATGGTGTACACTTGTGAAATATAACCATGATTTAACAATTGGTGTTGAATTTGGGGCTAGAATGATCACCATTGACAACAAACCAATGAAGTATGCACACTTGTGGCTAAAATAATTAAACAACAAACTCCAATATGTCATTACCAACCATGTTAAGGGCATTCACAATGTTTCAATGTGTAATTTAAGGGCATTCACAAAAGATGTACAAAATATGGCTATCAGTAATTTAAGGGCATTCACAAAAGATGTACAAAAGTAGCATTCACAAAAGATTCACAAAAATAGCATTCACAAAATATGTACCAAAATACCCTTACTACCCTTAACACCCTAATGCAACTCCAATGCTGAACTTGCAGAAGTCCCAACACATCCCATCTTCTTCAGCTTGTTTTCAACAATCCTCTAAGAGGCCTTCTTCTTTTTATAATCCTAAGGTGTACTGGTAATTCCTGGGTGTCATTAACACCTTCTTCTTCTTCTTCTTCACTTTCTGGTTGTGTCTCATGGATAATTTCTTCACCCCCATCTTGTGTCTCAGTCTGAGGTGGATACCCCTCTTCCTATAAAACATCAAGAAATTAATAACATAAATGAATGTAAACATTAAGGTTATATAGAGGGTTTACCATAGACATAGGAAGAACTTGTTCAATAGTGTCATTGTAATCATTAAGTTGTTTCATACGTGAATCTGTCAGACTAAGTGAATTTTTAATTTCTTCAATTGAATACCCTGATTGTTTCAAATCTTGCATTGACTTCCATAAATGGACTAAATATTTTTCAGGAATAGTGTCATCCTCATTTTCAACTGTATCACCTTCAACTTCAGCACCTCCACCACCTTCAACTCTAACAGATGTCTTACTGCCCCTACCACCTCTTTTACTACCCCTACCACCTCTCTTACTACCCCTACCACCTCTGTTAGCCACTACACCACCTATGTTACCCACTGCACCACCTCTATTACCCCCTCTACCACCTCTACTACCCATTGCACCACCTCTACTACCTCTGACACCACCTCTTACACCACCTCTAGTCCAATGACTGATATCAGGATCCAATCTTGGTCTACCCATTTTTTTTTCTTGGGTTTGGGTTCTGGTGTGACCTTGGGATTCTAACAGGATGCCTTGTTATGACCCATTTGAAGACAATTTTTGCATTGGACTATCCTTCCTATTCCAGTAACCTTCATCTTGTTTTGGGAGTATTTATCTTGAGATTCAGTGACATGCCTCTTTCTTTTCAGAGTTGGTCTCCCTGGCATTCTTCTAGCTAAAGGGGGTAGAGGCTTTATGTATGATGTTCTAGGCCATAAATTTCTACCATTCACAGGCAGTATATTGTTTGCATATATGGCCTTGAACCTGTCCACATTAAACCACTCACTTATGAAATGAACAGGATCTTGTCCAGTGAATAGTACTGCACACTGTGCATGTACACATGGAATTCCTGAGATATCCCAAAGCTTACAGCTGCACACTCTGCTTTGTAAGTTGACCACGTACCCTTTTAATCCATTCATGGCTTCAAAAATAGATGGTCCACTTGGATTCACATTCCAATTCCTACAATAGCATTACTAAATGAAATAATAACAATGAAATTAGAATAATGATAACAAGGAACAATAAAAATGCTAAGACAAACCTCAAATCCTCTCCAAACTTGTTCATTTTCTTGATAGCAGCTGGACAAACCACTGATTCCCACTTTTCTGCCTTTTGTAACATATGGTAGAACCTATCCATCATGTACAACCTAATTTCTTCAAACATTGCTAGAAGGGGTTTCTTTCTAGCATCCAATATGATGGCGTTGAAGCACTCAGCTATGCCATTTTCAACTGCCTCACATGCTATATCAGTCCTAAAAATGCCCTGCACCATGTCTGAGGATGTCTTGCAATCAAATGTTCATAAGCATTTGGATTAACCTCTTTATCATCCATTTTCCTCAGAAATTCACTCTCTACAGTTGATAAGGAAGCTGCCCAGAACATATTCTTGAACTCCACTCCAGAATAGGTCTTCCTAAAGTTAGCATATATGTGTCTTGCACACTGTCTATGCTACACATTTGGTAGGACTTCCTTGGTTGCTTCAAGCAATCCCTACAATTTAATGAATACATAAACATATAAGATGATGTTAAGGAAAAATCATAAATATGCTAAGAAATTACAAACCTTATGTTGATCAGAAATTACAGTAAACCCTTCTCCATCTAGCAGATTAAGATCCTCTGTGAGCAGTTCCAGAAACCATTTCCAATTAGCTTTGTTTTCAATGTCAACAACTGCCCAAGCAATTGGATAAACTTGGTTGTTTGCATCCCTCCCTATTGCTGTGAGTAATTCTCCTTTACATGTCCCTTTCAAGAAAGATCCATCTAGACCAATTACCCTACGACACCTTATTTTCCAACCTTCCTTGATTGCTTTAAAACACAAATACATCCTGTGAAAGTATGTTGTTTGATTGGATTTACAGTGACACCAACTTGGACAGTGCTACCAGGATTTGACCTTAGTAACTCATGACAATAGTCCCACACCCTAGCATAATGTTCTGTGAGTTTACCATCTATAATGGTCATTGCTCTACACCTTGTTCTGTAAGCCTTAGACCAAGACACACCACAATGAAATTTGGTCCTAATTATTGATTGCATCTCCTTACACTTCAAGTTAGGTTTCATTATCAACTCCTTCAAAAAGTGTCTTGCTAGCCATCTGGGACTCAGTAAATTTGAAATATTGAAATTTCTAACACATTTGTGCTCATCGACTAAGGTTTTAATCTGAAAAGACCTTTCTTGAGTCATCCAGGAAGCATGAACTCTGAATGGGCAGGGTTGAGACTTCATCTTAGAACCACATTTGGCAGTTAATCTCACAGTGTCACACTTCGCAAATTTAATGTTATACCCTGACTTAATAGCATAATTAGTGAGACATTGTTGCAACTGATGTGGTGATTCATACCTTTCACCAAGAAGGGGCTTCATCTTATTCCACTTAACTGATGGGTCGTGAATGGGGAAGCCTGCACCAACCGCATCTCCCAAATCAAGATCATTAGCCCCTGCAGTGTCATCGATTTCCTCTTCTGAACCAAACCCTTCTTCATCTTCATCAACTAAGTCATTGTCTTCATCAGCTTCATTATCTTCATAATCATAACTGAAGTTAAGGAAAGCATCCTTGCATCTCTCTTTACCTTGTGTCTTGAAATCAACTTCTTCCATTTCCACATCTATGTGCTCAGTATCAAGCACCTCTTCATCATCTTCGTATTCTTCAGATGACTCATGGTGAACCTCTGATTCGACAGCCATTGGGTTTTACCTTCGTTTCTCTCAGTAAAACCCTACTTCCTTCGTGTATCACTCTGTAAAAACCCTAACTTTTTCTCTCAATCGATCTACCAGACGTCGAATGCAGTAGAAATGGAAGGGTAAAAGTCACTTGTACACGTAAGGTGCCACATGCGCATAGTACCGGTGGGATACCGGCTAACCCATTAAATTTCCCGTTTTGATTACGTTTACAGGTATTTAGGATTAAATTGCAAAAAAAAAAAAAATATAGGGGCTAAATCGATTATACGGGCAATACATAGGGACTTTATTACAGTTTTCCCTATCTATTATCTTCCTAATTTTTCCAAATCACATGAAAACATTGTTTCTTTTCACCTTTCCACAATTATTTTAAATAAAATATATACAATTAATAAAAATATATAATAAACATTCATCAAATTCAAATAAGAATTTATTAAAATTCTAAAACATAAATTAACTTAAAAAAAAAAAAAAAAAAAAAAAAAAACTACCCGACTACGTTTGAAATATTTTCCACAAGATACGATTAAAGATTATGGTGCGTTTCTTTGTCTCATAATTTTGGGAGAATATTTGCAATTACTTATTGATAGACTTGTGTAATATGTTACACACACATATAATTTTCTTAATTTTTCTAGGATGCATTGCGCATTCATGATCTTTTTGTTAAAGTTTATGACAACATAAGAGCATCCACATTAAACAACAAATCAAGCATTTTACTTATTTCCAATCCCTTATGATGATAACAAACACCACCGGAAACAAACTCTTCAACAACACCATCAACCTCCACCACGCTACACCCCGGAGTTTTCCTAATTCCCATCTCCCTAATCCGATTCCGAACCTCTTCCGCCTCCCGTTTCCACCCCGCTTCCACATACATCTTATAACAAACAACACAAACCCCGTAATCACTCATTCCGATTCCCATCTCCATCATCCTCCGCCACACTCCATTCCCAACCACCACATTCCCATAACTCCTACAACCACCAAGCAACGCCCCCCACACATTCACATCTCTCCCACCAACACCCCCTAATTTCACCTCAATAAACTCCATTGCTTCCTTCAACATCCCGGCTCTTGCATACAAATCAACCACACACGCGTAATGCTCGAATTTTCTCTCAACTTTATAAACCTTTTCCATTCGGTCAAACAAGTCAACCCCTTCTTTCACCATTTTCACATGTGCACAACCGGAAAGTATAGCCACAAACGTGGGCCCACTTGGTTGGATCCCGATTGACACCATTTGATCTAAAAGTTTTAAGGAAGTTCTTGCTTCACCATTCATGGCCATTCCGGAAATTATCGAGTTCCATGCTCCTGTATCTTTGAAAGAAATTGTTTCGAAAACTGATAATGCTAAATTTGTACACCCACATTTTGAGTACATGTCAACTAATGATGTCGATAAAATTGGGTTTGAAAGAAGGTGGTGTTTTTTAGCGTATAGATGGATCCATGAACCTTGTGTGAGTGCACCCAAGTTAGCACAGGCTGTGAGAACAGTGACAAGAATGGAGTCGTTTGGTTTTATATTGAGATTTTGCATCTTTGTAAACAGGGAAATCACCTCGTGGAAGTCGTTGACACGTGAATATGCAGCCATTATTGCACTCCAAGAGATTACTGTTCTCTCAGGCATTTCATCGAACAGCTTTCGGGCATTGCTAATGTCTTCGTTTTTACCATACCCATCGATTAAAGCTGTCCATAGAACCACGTCCTTGATGGGAATTTCATCGAATAACATTCTTGCATTACCAATTTCTGAATTTGCAGAATAGAAGTCAACCAACGAGCTACCCACAAACTGGTCGTCTTCAAATCCCAATTTCAGAACATGCCCATGAACTGAACAACCGATCAATTTAGCATTTCGAAAACTCGAACAAGAACAACAAGCCTTAATTAAGGGTGGGAAAGTATAATTATTAGCTACAAGACCCAACCTTAACATATCTATATAACAGAAAAACGCAAAAACTTGACCGTTGTTCTGTAAATAACCTCGGATCATGGTGTTGTACATGAAAGTGTTTCGAAATCGAAGGTGTTGAAAGATCAAACGAGCGTAGGAGAATAAAGAAGCATTGTTGGAGGTCGCCAGGACTGAGAGAAGAGGTCCGATGATAACAGGGTTTTCCGGCAGGTGACATATGATAAGGTGGGCATGGATTTCTTTGAATTGGTTTAGGGTTTTGCATTTTTCTGAAAGCGTTTTTAGGGTGGCGTTAGAAAAGATTTCAAGGGTTTTCCTGATCATTTGAAAGATGGCGGGATACGATCAAAAGGTTCCTACCATTATATACGACTCCGATGCAACATTTAATAACATGTAACAACGTGTTTGTAACCCAATTTATTTAAATCTTATCATTTATTTAATTCTGATGATTATATAATTTGTTGCTTATTGTTAATAAAATTAACAGCTACGATATAAACTAGTTATCATTAGTATTATGTATTTTGTGGTTTGTAACATTTGCATAACATTATCAAAAACCCTTTTCAGCATCAAATATCTCAATGACGTATAATTAGGAATGTCATATGAAGCAATTCGTGAAGAAACATGTTGCCACATGCATTTGGTACAAGTTTATATATAGAAATAACTCGTATGTATGTTTGTGTCCTTAATCATTGGAAACCTGAACTATTCTTTTCCCGACATTATCACCACGAAAGAGTCCAACAAAAGCCGAAGGAACACCTTCTAGACCGAATGATACATCTTCAAGCACTTGCATTTTTCCTGTGTTGAGATGATCAATGGTTTTGGAGAAGAACTCGGGAAACATGCCCATATGATCACCAGCTAAGAAACCACGTATTGTGATTCTCTTGTATATAACACTTAACATATCTGGCACTGCACGTTTTCCGTTATCAGTGTATTCTGAAATGACCCCACACACTGCAACCCTACCGTGCAAGTTCATGTTTAATATTGCTGCCTCTAGCATCTCAGCTCCCACGTTATCAAAGTATATGTCGATCCCATCAGGGAAATACCTAGAATAAAAAAAAATGTCTATCAAGAAATCGATATCTTATTTATTAAGTCATTATTTTATTAAATGTTGGTACCTTTTGAGAGCTAAATTTAGATCAGTCTCTTCTTTATAGTTGAAGACTTCATCAAAACCAAGCTTTTCTTTAAGCAATTTCACCTAAAAAAATCAAACTATAAAGGTAAATTATATGGTTTCAAACTATGCTACACTCATTACCTTTATAAAGAAACAAAAAGTCCAAATTTAAATTAAATTAAATTTAAAAAATAAAAAACCTTTTTTGGGCTACCAGCACAGCCCACTACATAACACCCAAACTGTTTTGCATATTGGCCCACCAAATTTCCTACAGAACCCGAAGCGGCAGAGACAAAGACTTTTTCACCCTTTTTGGGCTTACAAATTTCAAAGAACCCAGCATAAGCAGTGAGCCCACTAAGCCCTGTATATTACGAACGTAAAGCCCATTTTCGCTTATATGAAGAAGATACATATAATTCTACTAAAAGAAAGACTGGCTTATTTGTAAAATTCGTATTTAATCTTAAATCGGCAATATCAAATGCAATACATACTTTGTAATATCATAAAATTTATCGACTATAGTCTTAGTCTTTCCTTTCGCTATGTAGAAAGGAACATTTAATCCGGAAATGTATCTTTATAAATAGCTAAATATGTTATACATTGTTAAGAAAACGAATATTTTACATTAAACGTACAACCATTTTGTTTAATTGATTTAGTAGCTTTTAACTTTTGTATATTTGAATTCAGTTTTATGAATTTGACAAAATTGCCTAAAAATGGACTTACCTAAGGCCCCAACATAGTATGACAATGGTAAGCCCATTGCATCCAATTTATTCAAGTAAGGCCCATTATATACACAATACTCTCCCCAACTTAAAAGCCCAACAACATAGTCATCCTTTTCAAATTCAGGATTCCCTGAAGCTATTACTATCCCCACACCATAAGCATCAATCACCTGAACAAAAAAAATATAATTGTTTGTTTTTTAGAAAAACTAAAAACATAATCATAAAATCGAAACTAATAAACCATACATGGAAGTTTTATGAGAAACACTATTGAGTTAAGATCAAACAAACCTTTCCAGGATCAATCATGGTAGCAAAAACTGAAGTGGTTTGAGATTCACTAGCAGTCTTCATTCGGTTAATCTGATACGGGTCGATTGATACATACAAATTCTTGATGATGACATCTTTGGATCCGGGTTTAACCAGTAGAGAAAATGACCCGTTTTTTAGCTCGAAATCAGACTCTTGAGGTGCTCCATCTATGTTAGCCTTAATGGCCACGTATTTGTTTGTAACTTCCATTCACAAAGAGCACTTAGTTATTTGATGTTGATACAACTTATGTAAGCTTTTCAATGGGGAAAGTTATATATAATAACCACAGAAGCAAATGATGTGATATCAAACAAACCCTACAAGAGAAAGAAGACAAAATGGTACAAAAAGATTCTCTATGAGTTACATCTATAGTATCGAATTAATAATTGTTAATATAAGTCAAGAACTTTAAATAGTATAAAAACTAAATCCAAAAACCAGTTGTATTATTATTCTTTATTTCAAAACTGTAGAGAAGAGATATTATTTTATGTTTCTTATTAGTTAAATATGTTAAAAAAATGTTTATGAAATATTATTTTCTCCCTAGACTATCATTTTATTTAGATTTAAATATTACTCTTAATTTTCTTTTTTAATAAAATCCGATACTATTTCGAAATCATACAAGTATGCTTAAATTTTGAATAGTTTTTAATTATATTTATCATAACTTTGTTTATTGTCCAACTGCTTATAATTAATATAGCATGTAATTTTCAAATAAAATTTTAACACACAAATCTTAATATATATTAGTTTCAATTAAAATATAATAAATAACGAAAAGATTATTTGTAATTTATTGTAATCCACAAGGATTATATTTAATAATTCAATAAAATACTTCTATTAATTTTGGAAAAAAACACCAACCATCATCATATGTTATAATATAAAGTTTAAAAAATCTTGAATTAAATAAAAAACTTGTTGAATAAAAAATTTTACCATTGCCGGCCTAAATCGAATAAATTTTATGTCATGTAACTACCATCCAAATTTTGTATTTTCTAGTTATGAATATTTTGTTTTTATTTTTATTTTTATTTTTTTGGTATTTTATGATGAACCTTTTGGAAACGATATAATGAGAAACAATTATAAGGCCGACAGCCGATAGAAATATGCGAAACCAATTTGAATAGACAAAACTTAAAAAGAGAAAACCAATTGGATTTAAATGAAATATGTTCGGTATTATCTGAAGTTAAACAAAATAAATATTCCTTTTCTTTGTAATCTAAATATTTCCAAAGAAAAACCTAAGTAAAGAAAAGTCACATACTTATCCAACTTTTTTTCTTTTTGGTTTGTCGATATCTATTTTTATACGTGACACGTGTCACAGACATGAACTCAATTTTTCAAATTCAAATCAAAACTGTTAGAAAAAAACACTTTGGTTTCTAAGATTGGTTTTGAAAAGGTGTATGACTCTTTTGGGTGAGATTAGTTTGCCTTGTATAAATAAGCTTATTTTTCGTTTTGTTAGAAATCATGGTTGAAAGATTCTTAGGATTCTTTAAAAGTCGTGAAATCACTATTAGCCGAAAGTATTTCGATTGTATATATCGCAAGTTCAATTGGATAAAATTCAATGGTGTGGCCGTACAACGTATAACGACAAAGGTGGGCCTTGGCTCACCCTTATAATTTTGAGTTTCATATACTTTGAATGTGTTCGATACAGAGTGTTTCAGAGCGTTTGAGAGCTTTTAACTTCTAGTGTTTGATAAAACGTTTCGTTTTGAACAGAAAGGCTCGTTCGCTACATTAAGTAGTATTTGGATTTTGGATCGTTTTATTTAAATTAAACATTAGAAGCTTGTAGTAGAAGTTAAAAACGAAACACTAGAAACTATAAGTTACCCACTACCAGTTAATTTTATCAAACACACCCTATGTATATTTTTGTTAAGTAAAAAATTGCCCTTTCATATGGCCTAATCTCACAACAACCCTTAAAATTCCATATAAGAGAATAGATTCTACCGATTAAAGATTTGATAGGTGCCACTTTTTGAATTATTACTTACTATTTGATATTTCATTCATTATTCGTCGGCATCATTATTCATCACACATTACGTTAGTATATTAATTTTTTTCTATTATTTTAATACTTAAATATTTGTTTTTATTTTTATCAGATAATTTTTAGTTGAATTATTTTTTACCAATTTAAGTTTGCATATTATTTTTTACCAATTTAAGTTTGCATTGATTTTATACTTCTATCGTACATTTCTAATAAATTAGATTACTACTTCTTGCTATGAATTAATTATTTGTATTATCATATTATAAATACGTTTATTTTTTATAAGAATAAAAGAGCATGTTTGTAATTTATATTGTTAAGCTTTTTCAGTTTAGATTCTATTATATATGATTTTAATGATATAAGAGAACATCGTGTCCTACTTAAATAAACAATTTACTTTAGAATGCATATATGATTAGTTGATTACATTTTGTTATCAACTAAAGTACTTTGCTATTCGTTCATATTTTATACATTATTTGGTTTACACTAAAACAAAATCTTAGTTATGCTACTCATAAAATTCAAAAATTTCAAACATAAAGATTGTGTTAAGATATGTTCTTGATGTTCTACCATAAATATGACAAAAATCGGATTAGTAATCTTTATGTCTGAAAGCTGTCACACAACAACTTTCCAAACTGTCACAAAACCACCATAATCTGTCACTAAAACCAGGTTCTAGATTAGTGTAAAAAATCCAGTCAATTTTATTAAATTCAAATTTGCATGCATTTTTAACAAAACAAAATTAACCCAAATAAATATGACCAAAAAACACTCAAACCCAGCCAAGGGCTCTGCCCCTTGGATCCTGCTACTAAAGGGGTTGCCTCGGGATCCTCGTCGGCTCAGGGGCTTCGCCCCTAAATGACAGTGTACTTTGAATTTTGAAAAAACTCAAACAAGTGTGCACTCTGCACCACTCTCATTTGTTCAATGTTTATCAAAATTGTTTTTGGTCAACAAATTAGTTCCATTACACTTAAATAATATTACTGAAACAAATCATCAACATGGTTTGAGACATAGAGATCTAACATCTTAT